TGCTTTGCTCGACAGTAGCTGTAGTTTGTGAAAAATTAAGCATAATTTATAGTCCAAGCTGCATTAATTAACTCTTTGGAGACTGAAGAGGGAGCTTTCTATGAGTAAACTGGTGAGTTTTCTGCAAAGCTTAAATGATGTGTGAGAAAGAAATTGCAGAGAATTTCCTGTTGATCATTAATGACCTTTCTGAGTAGATGGATTAAGTGAAGGGAAGTCAATATAGCAGTGTTGGTAGTTGTGGCTCTACTCTCTAATGCCTCACCAATGCTATTAACCCCTGGAAATCCAGGTGCTCTGTGGCGAGTAGATGCTCCTAATGATCACTGTGCTCTAAATCTTTCATGTGTGTATTCAACACTGTCCTTATTGAATAGATGAGTAACAGCATTAAGAGAACCTGGCTTCAGCCTCTTTTGCAACTATATCCATCTGTGACAGCCCTCTTCCTCCAGCCCTTGTCCCCTCATTTCCTTCTACTTTGCTCTTCGCTCAGACCTGCTGGACATCTGAGTTGCTGATGAGCAAGCTGCTGCAGGTCTTGTTCTACGTTGCAGGAGTTTTGTGCCCAGTTTGAATTTGAACTGGATTTAAATTTGAATTGGATTTGAATTTTTCTACCAGTATGGCGGAAACACCTTGAAATCATCCTTGGCCTCTGAGGCTTCACTCCTTTCGGTGTTTCTCTGTGACATATGGTCACATATGGTCAAACTTTCATCCCTAGCATAGTTACATTTTCTGAGGTGGGTATACTGAATCTATCAAGCTTAGAGCAAGACATGTGGGCTTTCCCAGCTGCTCTCCAGCCTAGTAGCATTCTGCCTCCTTGTTCCCCAAAAAGTTGCAGCTATGCCCCTTGTAAACATGAAATCCCAGCTGTAAGAACATCCCAGGCACTTTGGTAGGCTCTGAACTGTTACTACACAGAAATGAGATCTTAGGGTTATAGTAGATGAAGGTTTGTCTTCAGTAAGAGTCAAAACTCAGGAACTGCACCTTAGGAATGATTATGGATATAATAGAGACATAAAGACACCGTGTGCATCCCTGATCCCTGTGGGAAGTTGAGATCTTCCCACAGTTCTGTCTCACCATCTCCAAGAGTTAAAAATAGACTCAAAGATAGCATCAAGCAAGATTGCAGCAGTGATCAGTCTCTGTATGATAGATTATTAAATAGATCAGAACTCCCCATCCTGTAAAAAGATGAGAGGTGGTATCTGTAATTCCACAATAGAAAAAAAACACAAACCAAAGCAAAACAAAAAAAGAAGCACAGAGGGGAATGATCGCTTTTATTTATTTTATTTTATTTTATTTTATTTTATTTTATTTTATTTTATTTTATTTTATGATGTAAGGTCTAGGAAAGGACAGGTCTAAAAAAAGCAAAAAGGAAACATGTCTGCACACTGTGCACATAACACTGGAACTCTTGTCAGAGATATGGATGTTGGAAGATTTACGTTAATTCATGCAGCAATTAGATACATCCATGGCAGAGCAATCCATTAGAAGTTATTAAATATAAAGACACTACAGCTGACTACGGCTGTCTCTGAATTGCTCATCCCGGATGGCTGTAAGAATATGATCGCTGTATGCTCACCCTGATCATTTATCCTTCCTTGGACATCCGCTGTGGGCCACTCTCAGAGGGAAGACAGGACTTTGCTTTGACCAGTTCAGCTTGGCTTTTGTTCTTATATAATGGCTTGTATTTCTTTTTCTCAACAGGGATTTGGGCTAACTGCCTCTTTCTTTTTTCTCAGCTTTTGCTCCATATCTGATACTAACAAGTTGCTGTAGGTATATTGATTCAGTTTTAGGAGACATTGGAATTCAAGAAAAGACATTATCCTTGGAGAAAATAGGATTTAAAATATAACTATATATTATATAAAATATAACTATATAATATAACAATGAGCTTCCAGGAGAACAGATCAACCATGCATTTTTTTCTTCTGTCAGAAATAGATCTGCTGACAGATCTCTTTTTAGAAGTATACAACATTCACATTCCAAGTCTTATTCAAGCCATTTTTTTTATTTAGTTAAATGAAACAGTGTCATTTAAATTAGATGAGAATCCCATGGAATCTGTGGCTGGTCAACAGTGTAATCCAGGCTGGTGTCATATCATCATGCAGCAGTTCATCTTCTCAGGCATTTTATGCAATTTTATGTGAGGTGCTTTCTGCTGGAAGGTTCCTGGCTCTGTTTGCATTTCTTTCTCACCGTCCTTCACCCTCTTCCATTTTTGTGGAAGACTCACTCCAGAGTACATTCCCTTCCTGTAGGATTTATGATTTACATGAGAATTTTCCAGATGGAAGCCACAGGTCATTGCTTGCTAGCAGCTGATAAATTGCCTGTTTGCAGGCTGTGATTCTGCTTTTTCCATGTACCTTTCCTTTTGCACTTTTCCCACAGACTTGCCCCCGTAGCCCAAAATGAACTGAAGAGCAAAGCAGTCAGCCTGTACTAACCTGGCAGCCTCCATGACCTGTAGCTTCCCACTCAAGTACACCCTTAAGCCCATGCACTGGCTCTGACTGAGTTCTGGGCTAGAGATGCATGCTATCAAGCTGGATTTTACTTTCATGCCCTGTTTTTAAATGCCAGTTGTCATTAAGACTTGGTTTAAGTGGATGGATCAAGCAATAGGAGAGGTTTCCCCCTTGCAGGGAAACTCAGGTGCTACCACACACTTACAGCTCTCTTGTCCTGAACCAACCTCCCTCCGCTAGCCTGAAGGGCAATGTGCCTCTGTGCTGCAGAGGTATAAATGGTACAGACTGCTTGCTGATGGGTTATAATGGTTTGACTTCTATTTCCCTTTAATCTTAATTGGAAGTGGAACCTGAAATTCCCTACAGAAATTTGGGATTTTTCATTTTGAGCTTTTTTTTTTTTTTTTCACAAGGATCTCTTTTGGTGGTGCAATCAAAACATCTTCCCATCCTAAAAAGCAGCATTCATTATAGCAGGTGTGCACTGCTCTGCACATACTGCTCTCAGCTACCTGGTGTTATGTGCCTTATGAGGAGAGCTGCCATTTTTCATTGTAGCACTGTCTGTATTTAAGTCTGTGCTGAAGACTGTGCTCTGCTAAGCATAAAACCTAGGCTTTGTCTTGGCCAGGGGAAGTCATTGTTTTCCTTCTGGGATTGGAAAATGCATCAGCTCAAGTAAAGTAAACAGCAAACTTGATTCTGCCCTGAACTGTGTGTAGGCAGGGGTTACTCCTGCTGTGCACAGGATGAAGAAATGGCCTATTCAGAGAGAGACAGATCTGATGCAGTTAGAGCAAGTCCTGAAAGGAAGAGAGCCAGAACCACCTCTTTTGGTTGTTCATGTGCCAAGCATCTCATTAATATGAGGGGCTTTACGAGGTACTGGGATGTGCCTGTTGTTGGGAAACTGTGGGTACCCTGAGCAGGTATTTGCCACAGCCTTCAAGACTGCTGCAGTGCCAGGATGGGCACAGGGGCTGCCTGAGGTGTGGAGAGCAGCCCAACTGCCTCCAGAGCAGGCTCCCCCATGCCTCATTTCTTCCTTCATGGTTCCGAGTGTATCCTAGTCAATTCTGGCTTGGCTATTTACCTTGACACCTGTGCCAAGGTGGTCCCTGTTTTACTCCTAGTGTTCTAATCAGTGGGCATGATGGTTGTCCCTGTGGAGCCCTTCACCCTTCCCTGCGTGGTCTGATAGACCTGCTAGGTCTGTTACTGCTTGGCAAATGTTCAAGAACTTGTTTGAAGTCACTAACTTCTCTTGAGCTTTGTTCATCTTCTTGAAAATGATACAGAAATTTAAGATCTCCTCTTTGGAAACCTCTAGTAAAGCAATTAAGGTGCTGGAAATATGTATCAGTAACACTGTTGGTGATGTAAATGTTGTCAGTGTCAGGATATAAGCAATATGGGTAGATCATGAAGGGGGAATATATTCAATGAGATAAAGCATTCAGCACGAATAAAGCAAGTGCTTTAGAGCACCCATCTCTTCTTTTGGTGATGCGCGGAAGGGCTTGCAATCCTGAAAGTTGGCCCATTTTTCTAACCTGTATTAATTACTCTGGCAAAAGATGTTTCTCTTCCTAGAAGCCTTAGTCTTGCCTATGGAAACTCTTTGTTTCAGGCTGTAGGTTTGACTGGGTCACTTAGAGACAGATATTGCAGTGAAATCCTGCAGAGTGCTGTCAGTTTCATTTCTACTTTACATACTTGGAAAGTTCTTCTCCGGAAGAAAATCTGAAATTGAAAAAGCATCTGAGTCCCAGGAAGCATCAATAATGTTGACTGAGTTCTTCTTAGTATTGATCAGAGCTGACTGTCTTCTAATGCTGAGTTTCTCTTTGGTCTTTTCAGGCAACCCCATTAGAGCAGGACAGAGAAATACTCAGAAATATGGTAGGGAGAGATGGTACCATTCCTGATTGTGTTGGACCTTTCTTGGAACAAATTGAGGGCATTTGCTTCTGAAAAACTCTTTTCTTCCAGAGACATGGAGTATCTTCCCAGCAGTAAAATGTCCCCTTCAATGTCCTGGATCATGATGTAATAGTGTGATGCACTTAGCTGCATGCCACAGTGACTCCATGATTCTGCAGCACATCTTCTGGGCTTTCTAATCTCCTGCGTGACAATGAAAGTTTGCGTGATGTGTAAGGGGAGGACAAGGGGATCAGGGAAAGGGGTACTCCAAACATAGACACGAAAATGACAAATTTGACTTGACATGTTGATTACTTGGAGGAGAGTGCGATCTGAACTCTTGTCTTGCTTATCTACCTTTGCTGGGCACAGATAGGTCCATTTCCAGGACCTGAAGAGCTGAAGGCTCATCTAAAAGCACAGGTTGAGATTTGTAGCTTGAGGGCTTTTACTTTGGTAATGAACTTTTTTGTCTAAAAACCCAGAATTACCCAACAAAGGAAGTAATGATATATCTTTTTTGTATATATGTGTGTGTATTTTTTTTTTCTGCAGTAACTACAACTCTCTCCTCCTGGTCTGGGCATGCTAGAAAATGCAACGAAACAGCCAAGTCCTATTGTGTCAATGGTGGGGTATGCTACTACATCGAAGGGATTAATCAGCTGTCTTGCAAGTAAGTGAGTGTAGTTCTTGTATCAGCATGCAAATTGCTTGACTGGGCGAGAGGATACCTCTGTGCAATTGCAGGAGGAGGGTGGCTCTGAAATTCTCTTGGCATTTGCAGTTTTAGCTGTGCAGGTTTAGAGAAGGAATCTAGAGGGGTGGAGGAGGGGGAGGATTCGTAGTTTCTTTTTTTGTGTGTGAATGCCACAGTTGACTTTTCCTGACTTTCCTCTGAGAACATGTTTGTCCTTGCTGTTTCCTTTCCCTCACTTTTCTTTCTCCTCTGCAGTGTCAGGGGAGATTGTGAACCTGCATTTTCCTCTTGCTCTCCTCAAGCTGGTTCAAAGCTCCGTGTTTCGAGAGGACGTGTATCCCCTCAGAGCAGAGGGGCTTTCTGTGGTGCACATCCACCTCTATATCCTCTATAACCCTGAGGAGTTCTTTGCTGAGACTCGCTTCTTACCTCTCCTTTCTCCACTTCACAGGCCCAGGACTGGATTTAGAATACAGCTGCTCATCACTCCATGCTTGCCTTCATGGCAGGCAATGGTTTGTTCAATGCCCCTTTCAAATGTTAGAACCCAGGGGGGAAGAAAAAAAAGAGGATGGAGACATGCTAAGTCATCCCTAAAATGCAGTTTCTTGGAGATTTTAAAGTGGAACTGCATAGTCTGGGGAATGTGGGCCAGGATGTGAGAACCTTTCACCTTTGGTTCAAACCTGTCACAACCTAAAAGTCCAGTAGCCTCTCATGGCTCTCCCTCCATACTTGTTGTGGGATATGGATGAAAAGCATGGTCTGAATGCTAGTGTTGGAGCCATGCATACCCAGGCCCACATATCTGTTCCAGTCTCTGAGCTTGTGCAGAGTGAGCCACTGGAGCCGTGCGAGATGCTGCCCTGGCCCATGGAAGGGCCTGTTTGAACCCAGTCACTGAAGCCATGTGAGAAGTCCCCAGCCAGGCTAGTGAGCTCAGAAGTGTCACTGAGTGAATGCAGTTCATACCTAGGTCACCTGAGGTCACCTAGGGATCCAAGCATCATTATGCTGATAATATGTAAGCCTAGAGTTGAATGTTTGCTTCCTATCTGGCCCAAAAACATCTCTGTGGAGAGGTACTGCCAAAGGGATATACTGCCATGGATATCAACTAATCCCACTGCTGCTGTGTGGTGTGATGTTCACTGGACATTTCGGTTCCTCAGGCCTCATAGGATGTAGCTGAACTGAAACACCACTCCTCCTGGGAGTGTCGAGGACTGGGTTATGCCTAGCAACTTTCTCCCAATACCTTGTTTGCACTTTGCACTCCTTGTTTTAGCAGGGAGCAGAAACAAACTGCAGCAACTCTCCTAAATAGCTGTTTCCTTCATAGCACTACCTGGCTATAAAAGGGTCAAATGTGAATGAATTCTGGTAAGCTCCCACACTCTCACTTACCAGTGCAGGATCGGATGTGGTGGCAAGGATGGGATGAACAGGTCCCGGGTCCAATGGTCCCAGGCTTGCCCCTTCAAACATGAAAAATATAAAATAGGAAAGAAACCAGATTCTGTTGTCCTCCACACTTCCCATGTATCACTAGTGAGAGCAGCCCAGAACACCGGAGACTTGTGTTTTAAAATAATGATGTCTGACTGTGATTTCATCTTGTTATATCCTTCCAGTGTTATCCATTGGATATATAGTGGAAGCTCTAGCTGATCAGTCACACAGCCACTGTTTTGGGGATAATGCAAATGCATGAAGCACCAGTAGTTCTACTCCCTCCATGGGGAATGCTTAGCCATCCATCTGTGTGCCCTTGGAGTACATGGAGAACATGGATCAATGTATGGATCTAGGTGCTGCAGCCTATTGTTTTTTTCTGGGGAAAACTTGAATCCAGATCAAGACATTTCAAATCAGACTGTTTTCTAATTTAAAAAAGGATTACCTACACTTCTGCCATACAGAGGTGTGAAGGTTAGGCATGATTATTCCTAATGATGCACATGGTAGTGCATGAAGTGTCTTTAGCAGATAAACTGATCAAACCAGAGCGATGATAATCTTGCTAGGAAAAAGTCTACCTTCAAACCAGACTGTTCTGATAACTTATGAACAGCAGGACAGCTCAAAGATCAATTCCTTCAAGATTTTATGTGCCATGCAAAACAGACATAAATGTTTCAATTTGAAAGTGGTAATTCCTCACTTGCAGATGGTAAAATGAATTATTTGTCTGTTGAGCTCCAAGATACCAGCATTAAAAAAGGTGTGTATGACAAAGACAAAGGTGTGTATGAGTAGTCAGCAAAGTGCTAAAAAAAAAAAAAAAGGTATTTTGAAAATCCATGCTGTCACTATTCATCTCCCAGAATAGACAGGTTATATTAACAGGAACCCAAGTGGACACAAGTTACTTCCACAAAGTGCAATCGTTTTTGTTCCTGATTCTGTATCAAAGACTGAAGTGCTGGATTTTAAATTGGTGTATTTTAGAGTTTCTGGATTTCAGAAGGCAGTAGTTGAGAAAAGTAGAAGAAGATGAGCTGATAATACGAATATCACGCTTTCCATAAAATGAGTTTCCCAATAAAATGGAAGACTTGGAGTGAAGGCTGACAAAGGCTAAGCTGTCCTTAGATTTGTCTCTGCAAACTAGAAACATACTGAAGTGCTTCATGACTTTGCCAAGACAGGAGATCTGCTGCTGCAGTCTGTGCAAGGCAATGATACAAATTCAGAGGAGCATCTAGAAGAGGATGCAAAAGTGCAGGGTTTGACTTGTATTTCACAAACCCATAACATGGGAGCCAGACTTCTCCCACCAGCAACCCCTGGCTTTGAGACACGGATCATGAAGGACATTGGGAGGTCTTTCTGCACACAGACTGCTCAAATGCTTTGGAGCCAGAGAATGAACAAGAGCCACAAGAACATCTTGAACAATGTGTAAAACCACACATTGTTCCTACTTTACTATTCCTGGTTAGGGTCAGCAGAAACTTGAAGGCCTGTTTCCATTGCTTCCCATCTTGCAATCTTCCTTCACTGTGTACAAACACATTCTAGCATTCTGGGCACCAGTGTGGTGCTACCAGTGTTTTCTATATTCTTCCGAGTACCAATCATCAGAAAAACAAAGTTTTAGGCCTTGATTCTTATTCCCTACCTGCTGTCATCCTGTAATCACCTTCCTGAACTGTATTTCATTGTTTTCAGCTGTCACAAGCATAGGAGGTTCTTTCTGTGCATGTTATCCCTGACACTCTGGAGTAAAAAGGGCAGCTGTACTCTCAGATGATTTGTTTTCCTGAAGTGGCTCACACTTGATTTGCTAAGCATATTGCTTAAATTGGCAGCTGGCCTTTTATTATTATACCCCAGCAATTTGTTCCTTCTGATCTTTTAAATTCTGAAGAATAAACAACAGCTTAACTTTTGCCTGCAAACCACTGTCTCAATTCCTGCTCAATACAGTTCATCTAGACTTTGGACAATGCAGTTTCATCACCAGGGAAGAGTTCAAAATAGACTTGGAACTGTTCCAGAAGGCGTGTCCTGTTTTGGAGTGTGCTTGCATAATTTTGGTTTTAATTTGAAGTAAATTTTATACATGCTAGTTGCAAAGGAAACTTGGATATGATACAATCTCTCCTGTCATCCTGACTTTACAAACAGACCACCTGGAAATTTGATGGGAGAAGTGTGATCTGCTCAGATATATTGCACACTTGCAGCATAAACCCAGGAAATCTGGAAAACTAATGAACCACACACATACAGAATTGACAGCATTAGTAAATTAAAGAGCTCTCTTGACAGGAAGATTTTCTCGACCTTTCTCCAGACCATTTTACTCAGAGAGGCCTTACAAATGGGGAAACTGTGAGTTTGGGTAGGGTGAATTTCCAAGTTTGCAGGAGGAACACACACAACCAAGTTGCAAGGTCTTTGAACTGGACTGGGATGCAGAAGAGATATGACTGAATTGTGTCCAGCTGCATCTACTGCTTAGGATAGTTAGTAGCATCTGATTTCTATCTGAGCCTGTCCTTGATCCTAGATCCTGTTGAGTTCTCGGCACTTAGAGAAGTGCTCTAATCTGTTATTGCCTGATGTCAGGCCCCACACAGTTGTGCTAATGTGCGTGTCACAGCAATAATGCTCTTTTTGCCAGTTAGGTGCTGGCAAGCATCATCCATGATTGGGATCTTCTTAGCCAAATATAAAAACAAAGCCAAGTGTCATTGTTGCAGTCCTTCTCTGTCAACATAAAAGTTCTTTGTGACACTTTTGGATGCTTGATGTATAGTCAAAAATAGCTAATGGACTGGCCAGGATCTTGCTAATTGAACTGGCTCAGAATACCCAAAGAGGTTTATAGAGCAAGTTCCCCAGCATTTAGGATAAGTTGTTCTTAAAGTATTTATAAGTGCTAACAGGTAAACCAGATTCCTGGATTTTGTCTCCAGAGGCCTGGAGGCTCTCAGACAAAAAGTGAAAAGCAAGAAAAGATTAATAAACAAACAAATAAACAAAAAACGCCTAGCAGCCCACTTACTTTTTTCCCCAATATATATAATTTCCCTCAATTTTCCACAGAAAAGAGGAAAGAGGAGCCAGTCACATTTCCAGCTCCCCTGTGCTTTCTCAGAGTACTATCTGAAGGGTGAGCATCAAGATAATGTCAGCCATGATCTTCCCTGCATCACAAGTTGCTCATGCCCATGGCATCACAAGTTGCTCATGCCCGTGGCTCAGATCTCCTATGGTACTAGAATCTGTGCCATCCTCACTGACTTTTCTGGTGTGACCAGCACAAGGCATACATTGCACAACCACAGAAATGTCCCTTTGGCATGGATGTATTAGTAGTTTTGTTAAGGGGAGTTGAAAATTCTCTGAAAATTAGAACCCTCCCTGAGAGCTGCAATACCTAGTTCTGAGTACCTGAATTGATGGTTAAAATTACTTACAGTAGATTCCTCTTTCCTAAAATGTAGAAACGTGAAAGTTAGGGG